AGTTATATGGATATAGCAAATTATGGATATAGCTAAGTAAATTCACAGGTTCCTTTTACTTTGTAATAACCAAGTTTTACTGTAAACCCAAAAGAGCAGAGGTTTATCATCTGTTTTCATAACCTTTGGAGAAAATTCGCCATCAGTTTATCCATTATTTTATCTCCACTAGAAATTGTTCATTCTTTTATGTTGGATTATTCTCATTTTCTTGTCCAAAAGTAACTTTTTCATCTTTCAACCTTGGCTTATGATTGCATGTGTGCATTTGCATGTGTCATCATACCACAATGTGTTGCATACTTTCATGAACTGCAGATCTTTCATTTTGAAGACAAATTACTTTTTTTTTTCTTTTTTTTTTTTTTTGGACAAGAAGGCATTTTCAGGTTAAAAAATTCTAATTGCTGTACTAAGGGTCGTGATTTTTGGGATGTGCATGTGGCATCACTATAGAATATGTCTTGACCCAGAAATAAACTTGATTTTTGACCTTGGCGTCAAGGTAATTGTGTTTTTGGCAAGTAGATGTGTTTAGAAAAAAGCTTCTTTTTTTTTTTATCTTATCATCCAAAATAATGTTATTTAGTGTATGGACGAGTCATCATAAGGTGATATACTAGTATCAGGACACACAAATGATCTTTGACCTCAATTTTAAAGTTAGGAAAATTGATCAATTAAGACATAGTTTCTTATCTTTACTCCAAGTGTATGATTTTTTGTGCATATGATGGTTTATGCTTGTCACCATAGAAGAATCATCTTTGATGACATCTTTATGACCATAACCTTTAAAATAAGTTAAAAAGACATGCTTTAGCATACTTAACAATATTTCTAGCTGATATTGATACTGATGGTGCTGTATTCTCCAGTCTTTGAGAAATGTTTGCATGTGTCAGAATTGTCTAGTTAATTTCAATCATTTTATTTTTACTCTACAACATACTCTGTTTAATGCAACAAATCCTGGGTCTAGTTTACTGTATGACATTGTGAGATAAAATTAGTGCCTCAAGTGTTTGTCAGAAGGAAAAACCCTAATACCCTTACAAGCTTGGACGAGGTGTGAATTAAATGCTTCTAAATTGGAAGCTCATCGACCAGGTACAATAGTGATAAATTAATAGCATCTGACATTGAGGGATCTCCTGGTCTTTGATGCAATTATTTATAGTCCTCCTTGTCTTTTGGAGGAGACAACCTTAAGAAGGAGGAGTAAAAGTGCAGCTGACTGGCTTCTAAGTTCATCTCTTCCTTTTGTTATTGCTCTCTCACACAAGGTAAACACAGATATATTGTGTAGACATTATGAATGGTAAGTACAGATAGACTCTGGGAGTGGGAGCTTCTGTGAATGTTAAAGTGGCAAGTTTCTTTCATTTGAAGTTTTTATGAAAAATATTTATGCCAATATTTGAGATATGTTTATAAACTTTTGGTGGATTTATAAGAATTGGTCCATGGATTGATGAGGTATCTCCTTCCATCTACAGAGCTGTTTACTACATGTATAATGATCACAGAAATTTTGTATTTATCCCGGATTTAAGTTTCAAAGTATGCTTATGTGTTATATGCTCCAAATTTTAATTTTTTTTCTGTGTTGTATTAATGCTTACACACTGATGAGGACACTTATTTATATATTACGAAGTGTCATTTATGTATTGTGCATGCTAACAAACAGATAATAATGTAACAAAAAAGTTTTAAACATTACTACATGTAAATGTACATAAGAAAATTAAAGCCAAGGTATTGCCAACATAAAATTGTGGATGAAAAGCTTAAATTAAAGACAGAAACCATTTTAATTACTGAAATCTACAGAACGGGGTAAACACTTCAGCATCTAATTTATTTTGGCAACTTTTTTATGTCCCCTTTTGCACCAGTTATATCAATCAGGGAATCTGACAGTAGGCCAAATGTTCACTCAGTATCTTGAGAACCCTTTGCTTGACAGACATCAAACATCATATATGCTGATACCTCTAAGAAGAAAATGACCCCTGTTAATTTTGAGGTCAAAAGGTCAAAGGTCACACTACTCTGGCATAGGAAGATATTGTCCCCTGAAATCCCTTAAAAAATAGATGTACCCTTTAATTTTGAGGTCAAGGTCAAACTGGCTGTAAGATATTGCTTGGTCAATGTCTTTAGAACTCTTTTGGCCTGAGAGAGATAAAACTTAGTATTTTGGTTGCCCCTGTAGATAACTAATATTTTTTACTTTCATTATAGACATTCTAAATTTAAAGTAGGGAGGGAGGGGGTAATTTATGACTGCATGATTTATGACTGCATTTCAAAATTTCGTTTTACCAACTATTGAATTGTTTGCAATCTACATATACCATCTTGTTTTTTATGCATATGCTTAACACTGGCCAAGAATTTTGCAAAGCTACAGCCATTGAAATCCAATTTCTGCTTTATAGTTTCTTGAAGTCGGTAAAACTTAAGGTTAGCAAAGAAAATCAACTTCTGTGGATAAGAACATTTTACCAGAGCAGCAATACATGTACAGCCATTTGTATTGAACAAGACTTTACCAAACTCATGGACTCAGATGTCTTCAATTGTTGTTTTAATATGGGTAGGGAAGAAGTTAAATGTTCCCCTACCCCAACCCCACACAAATCCTTTGGCACATTTTAATATTCATATGTAAGGGCACATCCAGTGATCACTTTCAACTCCTCTTTCTCAATATTCCTATATGCTTAAAAGGACAATACAGTAAATTAGGTGAGGGGAGGTGGGGTTCCTCCCTTTCTGATTGCAAAATGTAAAAGATGGGGATGTCAATTTATCAGGTGTTTCTGGTCTATTTAGACTATTTAAGGGAACTTTTATCAGGAGCTAGTCTGTCTGGTGTTGAGCATGAAACAACATTCATCAATTTTAATGGGGAGGGAATCGAAGATAAGGTTCCTCCCTGCTGAGAAATTTTCAATTGTTCCTGTGTCAAGCCGCAAGACCTTGTCACCACAATTAAAGAGTTACAGATATGTCAATGCCTATCGATACTTTCACTGTGTGGCTCATTGATACCCCAGTCTGAGTGGATCTATTAATAGCTGTGAGAGAGAGGGTACCACCCGGCTACTGCCCCCACGTAAAGAATTGAATAAAGAATCGCAAATATAATGATTAGCTAAGAGTTTTTGTTGTAAGGAATTCAAAGAGCTGCAGATACTTTGGTCTTAAATATATATACCTAGATATTCAGACAGATATTAAATCCTCTAGCAGGCAATCAAGGAATTATATAAGCACAATGAATATGGTTACTTCATAACATTTGTGAGGAGACATGTCAAGGGGTCTTAAGGATATTCAACGTCTAGATATATTTATATAGGTATTTAATTACCGCGTTAGGAATTGTTTGCCAGAAATTTTAGAATTTTTGAAATAGAGGATAAGAATGCTGGCTCAGATCTTCTTTGTTAATTACGAGTAATTCAAACCTAGGTGGTTGTGACATGTTTTCTGTGTTTTGAATTTGCCTTTTTTCTTTAAAAATGAAATTTTAGAGCTATGTGAAATTTGGAAATCATTTCTCGCTAAAACTGATAGGTAACTACTCAGTAAAGGAAAATCTTCTGTCCTCTCCAATGACTGTTCAAAATCTTTATTTTTTTCCCAATACACAGAATACCTGTTGAGTAAAGATTAATCTCTCTGCTATATCAAGTTTACCGATTTGTTAGATTAGCCATAACCTGTCCATTAACCAGTTAAAAGCATCACAATGTCATACGATTTTATCTGGCTCAATGCTTAGAACTTTCACTTCGTGTCGTTTTGAATGAAAATTTGAAAGTACTTTGTAATGTTCCAATGCCATCAAGAGTATCCAGATGTTGGAATATACATGTACGAGCCACCTTAAGAACTGAACAAGTGGTTTTAGAAATGCTATAGGCTTTTTAAAACTCCCCTAAAAAATACATAATTAGCCTTTTCACAAGAGGTCTTTCATTTAGTTGACAGTTTTAAAACTGGCTGCTAGCATGAAAAGGTAGCGAGGGTAGTTAAAGGCTATCACTATTCACTAATGATTAAGGATTAGTACACTGAACTTAAAGGAGACTATATACAGTCGTGGACCACCTAATTTCATAAGCTGATTGAAATTAAACAGCATGTGCAGTATATACACTTGCATGATAGGACTGATTGAGGATTAAAAGTTTGCGATATCTTTGCCAGACGACTGGGGTCAGAGTCGGTCTGATGTTGCTTTACCGGGGAGCTTTTGGCACTTTTATATATGGATAATACTGAAAAATCAGTTGCCTTCTAAATCTGTAGTTTGTGGGCATTTTAGTGAAATCTGTCCAGATGGGTGTTTTGAACTGAAATGGAACTCTATAAATGATTTCTGAGGTGAAAGTAAGTTGTCATTGATATTGATAAATAATAATTATTGCTTTTTAATAAGTAAATTCAGTCTCAGATTTCAGTGTTCCAGCTCTCAATATGAATTTTGAGAACTTGTGAAAAAAAATCATTACATATCAGAATTTAAATCCTTTTAGGCAGTGTGGTTTCACTGAATTATTAAAATTATCTATACATCAATAATTTCAGTGTCAATTATTTATATAAATCTTGATTTATTTTTTTTTAAAGTCCAGACAAGAGTATACAGTAGTAATTTTTTTTTTTGTTGCTCTAATTGTGTACATGATTTCAGCATCCTATTATATGTAAAACAAAGCACCGTAAGAGAGATCAATTAAGCTATTGATTTTTAAAGCCATTTTTGGCCTGCATTGTGACTGTTGGATGGTTTTGTCCCTGAAATCAAAAGGTTAACTGTTGTTTGTGTGTTTTATATCTAGTTAGTGATGATTTGCATTTGTATACCAGGTACCTAATGGTAACAGAGTTGAGACATCTACTCATAACATCCAGTTTCATTCTTAATAGTTAAATGTGTAATTTTTTTTTTTTTTACATATTTTTTTTTACTATTTCAGGACTCTATTTCATTTGTCACATTCTTCAGTTCTGTAATGGAGTGTGATGGAGTTATGGAGGTTCCATTGCAGCAGAATTGATGGTAGACACTAAAGAGTAAGTCTTTCAGTTTTAGTATGTCAGATTTAGATCATGGATACCCCCCCCCCCCCCTTCATGTGGACAATGCTTGGGAGAGGTATAATAAAAATCACATTATTTCTTTCATGTATGTCCATCTGTCCAACCTTGTATATGGTGACTCTGGTCATTTCTTCATTATATACAATAAAATCTCTGGTTTGATGCGATTGTTACTTATGATCAGATGATTCGTTACAACCTCTCCATCTGGTTCTTGTAACAAGGTCAAGGTCACAGTGCATTCCATGACCCATAGCTTAGGTCATTCTTAAAAGTTTAAAATCTCGAGGCTGATCAGCAGATCCATCATTATTTTTGTGATATGAGTTACAACCAAGTGTATGTATGTCAGTGATAATCAACAATACAGCAGAGTCTTGATAATCTGGACACTCGTGTTCCCAAGAAAATCATCCGGATTAATTAAGTGTCCGGATTACTGAAACATACCTGGAATGTAAAAATATAACTTGTTCCTCACAAGTTTTGTCCGGAAGGTGAAGCATCCGGTTTATTGGTGTCCTAATTAATGAGGATGCACTGTATATATATTGAATTACTTGTAGTTTACAGTAAATACTTTTGACATGCCATTTACAATGAATTTACTTAATTGCTATTTCAGTGTATGTTTTGTACGTACAATTCATGTACATCACATGAAAGTTAAACAAGTAGATGATATTGTCAAACCTTGTTATCTAAAACTTGACAAGGCCAAGAAACACTGAGAAATATATTCAAGGACTTAACATGTTTAGGTTAGAATATAGTATACACAGAAAGTATTGGGCTTCCAACTCAGTTTGTTATATCCATGGTATTTAGTTATCAGTTATCAGTGTTTAAGATATCAAAGTTCAACTGTATATACTGTAACAGGAAAATTTTCACACCTAGTTTATTTTAGCCCATTTTGTCTTTGCTGCAAATGGGCAAATTCAAAGTAGTCAAGAGTTATTTCTTGAACACAACAGCATGTGTCTGAATGAATTTGAAATGAGGTAAAATCATTGTAAGTTTGATATGGTAATGTAAAATTAACCTTATATACAGTATAGTTATTTCTATGGAAATTATGTGCCTAATGATATGCAATTTATATGTGTTCATCAGAGCATTGTACTTAAATAAAATATGCAGTTGCCTGATGTGTACATCATATTTTAGCTCACCTGACTGAGTCACTCAGATGACCTATTGCTTTCTGTTTTAGTCTGTCATCCTGCATTAACATTTAAATATTTTCAACTTCTTCTCTTGAAATGCTGAACCAGTTTCAAATAATATTGGCTTAAGGCATCTATGGGTGAAGGCCGGGTAACATGAACTGTGAATTTCATGGAGCCTGCCCTCCTGGAACCTGAGAGGTAGGGTAAAACTATTAAAATTAAGTTTTTAAAAATCTTTTTCTTTACTCCTTGAGATTGAGCAGTCAAACTATTGGCATGATTGTAATTAGCATTAACCCTTCTACCAAAATTGTGAAACTCATGACACAAGGTCAAGGGTTCTGAAGTTCTTTTGATCGTATTGTGAAACTCATCAATTCTTTTAAAAAGCTCTTTTTTCTGACTGTATATGCAGCAGACAAACTATATGCATGATTATGATGAATGCTTCTTTAAAAATTGTGAAATATTCATAGCCCCTGGGTCAGGGGTTCTGGTATTTAGGATGGGTCTCTATTCATTATATAGTGAAAATGCATTATTACTTTTTTTAAAAAAATCTTCTCTTTGCCTTGGTATTTAACAGAGAAATTAATTGCATGGTTATGTTGAGCAACAGTGTCTCTTCCAAAATTGTGAAATTCATAGCTCTTGGGTCAGGGGCTCTGATGTTAGGATGGGGTTCTATTGATTATATAGTAAAATGCATTAATTATTTGAAAGTGCTTTTCTGCTCCTTAGTATTTAGCAAACATACCAAGTGCATGGTTATGATGAGCAAGGGCACCTTTTCCAAAATTGAATTTCCTGGCCCCTGAGTCAGGGGTTTTGGTGTTAGAGTGGGGCCCTATTGATCATAAAGTAAAAATGCAAAAATTCTTTAAAAATGTTTTCTCCCCATGTATATTAAGCAGACAAACTAAGTGCAAGGGTTCCTCTTCTAAAGGGTTCCTCTTCTAAAAGTTGTGAAATTCATGGCCCTTGGGTCAGGGGTTCTGTAGTTAAGGCAGGGTTCTAAAAGATGAGCAAACTACTTTGAAGAAATATTAAAGAAATATAGATTTTACGTCATTGCAAATTAAATTTTAGGCTGCTCTAAAGGCTTTGATACTTGTCAAAGCCCATTTACAATACAAGAGGCCCAAGGATGTTAACGGTAACCTTAGTATTATACAACCTCAACAAAGAAGATGTTGAAAGAATTAATGCATTTTCACTATAAACATGCCAGGAATTTTAAAATTTTGAAAGAGGCACCTTGCTCATCATAATTATACACTTAGTTTATCCATTAAATATCCAAAAGCAGAAAAATTTTTTTAAAGAATTTTCACTAAATAAGCAATAGAGTCAATCCTAACGCCAGAACCCCAAACCCAATGACCCATGAATTTCACAATTTTAGAAGAGGCACCCTTTTCTCATTATAACCATGCATTTAGTTTGTACAATACCCTGGAGCAGAGAAGATTTAAAAAAAAAAAAAAAAAAAAATGAAGCATTTTCATAATATCCTTTCCTTTCCTTAGATGTTAAGTATTCATTGTATCGTATTATTTGCTCCTCCCAGTTATGTATGCTCATTTAAATCTTCTCCGTACTTTTACCTCTGTGTATTACACCTTCATTTGTACAGTAATAAGTTTATGTAAATAATGACCATACTACTCAGTGTGAAACTCCTTTTTCAATACAGAAATATCTCACAATAGAGGAGTAGCTTTTTAGGTGCACTTTTGATTTGCCTAGTTTAGAGGTGGGAAAAGTCAATTTAATTTTGGTTGTATTTTACCGGTTAAGTTATTCAGAGGTGTTTGACTTTAATCAAGAATTCCAAACACTAAATAAATACTTTTTTGGAATCTTTTATGTCAAGGATTTGCAGAAGTGCTAGAGAGCACGACCTGGGGATTAGAGAAGGAGAATTGATAAAATTCAGAGTATGCTCATGATTCATTGATCTTCATCAGCTATTGAACTCTTCACATACTTTTAGAGCAAATGAAAAAAAGTGGGGTTGTGTTTTTATTAACTATTTTATACAACTTTGATTTTTGAACATCTGTTTGTATAAACATTGGGTACATGTATATTGATTATAATGGGTTTTATTCTTACTGAATTAAACTGATATTGACAATTGGTACAAGTATTGAATGGCCAGGAAACTATAAGGTTTATTGATGATGATTAGACATGCAGTTGAACTTCGGTATCTCAAACATCAGTATCTTGATTTCCATGGATATTTGTCAGAGTTGGAGGCCCTAACTACTTTTTCTTCATGCATTTTATCCTCAGTAGCTCAAATATTTGGTTACCTTGAAGTTTTTTCTCTGCCCATTCAAGTGTGAGATAACAAGGTTTGACTGTAATTGTTGATAACTGATTTGACATACCTTGATTAATTATAGGTATAGGCACTGTATTTGATTACTTTACTTTTGACAAACCTTTATTAATTACAGATACTGGGACTGTATTTAATGACTTATTGGACACATCTTGATTTATTACAGGTGTAGGGGCTGTAGATATGAAGACGCGTCAGGTGTCCTCTGCCCCGCTGGCTGGGTCCCCCCTCAGTAGCCGATCCACCAGCTGCAGTAGCCTGTCCTTCGAGGGGATACCTGATGAAGTCGCCCGCCTCTCCGAGGAAAAGAGCAAAAACCTCAAAGGTAACTCATACACAAGGGTTTCCTGACTATAAGAATTTACAAAAAGTAAAATCCATTAAGACAAAAATTGCACACTTTTTAACGCAAGATATATATACGTGAAGTTGTCAGGTTTAATTTCTTTATACATGATTAGGTTTTGCTCTTAACTTTGATTTCATTTTTGAATGTCATATTATGAAAGAGGTTTAAAAGTATCATAGAAAAAATTCTGTAAATACATGTATTAAGAATAAGCACAGATGTGAAATGTAAAGAGTATACAGAGACTAGAATATCAGAAAGAAATCGGTACAATGAAATATAAAAAGGAAAATCTTTGAGTCAATCGTGCTTACGGTAAATGATAAAAGTAGGCAAGTGAAGCTTAAGGTTTAAGCACTGAGTTGTGAATTTGGTTGCTTATACATTGTATAAAATGCTTAAAAGAATTACTTGTAAGCGTGAATGTCATTAGATATGAGGGCTGATGCCTCTCACAAAGGTCACAGAATCAAAGCAGTATAGCAAGACTTAGTCCTAGGAACTTATCTGGGTCTAAAACAAATATGAACAAAAATCTAAAGGGATTTATTTAATATATAGGTTTTAAACAGCAGGGCAGTTTGCCACTGATAATAATGCATGCAAAGATGATCTGTTTAAATTCTGAATCAGCAAAAAATAAATGTGTTCCAATTATTATTATTATAATACAAATGATTTATTGCTAAAATATGGGCCTTTGAGGACAAAGTACAAAACACACAGGTAATAACAAACCATGTACTCATAATCCCATACAACATTAGTTGAACAGCAACCAAAGGTACCAAGAGACAGTGCAAAAAGAACATCATATAATATTCCATGTTGTTAAGGGTAACATTGAAATTGTTTTCACCCCAAGAAAATCACTGTCAACTGAGGCGCCGCCAAGGTTGACATTGGTTTTCGAGGGGTGAAAACTTTGAACGTTTATACCCTCAACTACATGCAATATTTATTATATTATACTGAATGTTTTATACTAATATTCATAACTTACAGTGAGTCTTAGGAGGATTCTTAGTCCTATATGATAGCTTCGTAAACATGCCACTTACAGTGAACCTTGTGCATATAAATTTTGTGCAATCAATATTTTTTTTTTTTTTGGAATATCACCCGTTGTCAAGCAATGTTGAGCTGTTTCTATCCTGGTGGGCATGGTTTCATCATTCAAAGGGTAATACCAGGGTAGTGTTTTTAAACAAACGTTTATCAGCAAATCAGATTCAGGTAATTTACATAAACGTATAATATTGTAGATTGGCGCACTGTTCATATTTGTAATACAAATATTAGTTAATATAATCAGAGCTGTTCCCCCTCATACCTGAAGTTGAGGCTCAAGAATATATACAGTAATATAGGTGAACAGTAAACATGAGTTAGTTGCAGTACAAGTGGATGAATTTACATAAATTCATAATATTCATTTCAAATAAAAACTTTCATGATATACCCAAGCTTTTTATGGCATTCAGCTCAAAGAGAGATAACTCCTGTATGGTCTCAATTTCTCAATGTTCTACATGTTATGATTTACTGATTAATGAATTGCCATGATTCCATTTATAGTCATTTTGTTCCAAAAGTTTAAAGATCTTATAATTAACAAAAGTATAAATTAATTTTATGCTTCAGCATACTTCTAAGTGGTAATTTAGGTTTTATATAGGAAAGTTAAACTCTGAAATCAAATCATTATACTGTATACAGGATTATTTTTGCCCCATTTTAAATTTGCCTGGACACAGTTGTTTTAAAGAGAAAATACTGTCTTCTTCGAATTTGCCCTGTTTTAAATTTGCAATGAGGGCAAAAGGGCAAAAAAAGAATTGGGATGAAAATTTCTTTTTTTCCAATAAATGTAATAGATATTTTTCTTATTCTTTTTATTATGATTTGATTAATTAATGAGGTAGGCAATTGAAGTTAAGATATATTGGTATTTTTAGGCCACCTGAGTCACTTATCTGTTTTTGTCAGTTGTCGTCTTTCATGCGACTTGTATCGGTCGTAAATTTTTGAACATTTTCAGCTTCTTCTCTGGAACCAGTGAACCAATTTCAACCAATTTTAGCATATAGCATTTATGGGTGAAGGGGAACAAAAATTTTGAAGTTCATGGCCCCTGCCTTCCTTGGGGCTGAGGGGTAGGGCTAAAACCATAAAAAATAATGCAAACTTTAAAAATCTTCATCTTTACTCCTGGACATCAAGCAGTCAAATTGTTGGCAATATTGTAATAAGCATTGAGCCCTCTACAAAATTTTAAAATTCATGGCCCCAGGGTCAGGGGTTCTCATGCTAGAGTGGGGCTCTGTTGAATATAGTGAAAATGCATTATTTCTCCTCTGCTCCTGGGTATTCTGCAAACAAACTAAATGCATAGTTAAGATTAGCAAGGGTTTTCTTCCAAAATTGTGAATTTCATGGCCCCTGGATCAGGTTCTGGTGTGAGAGTAGGGCTCTATTAATTATATAATGAAAATGCATTAATTCTTTAAAAACTTCTTCTCTGCTCATGGGAATTAAGATGATGAACAGAGTGCACAGTTATGATGAGCAAATGTGCCTCTTCCAAAATTCTGAAATGTGTGGCCCCAGGGTCAGGGATTCAGGGGAGGGGTCTATTGATTACATAGTGAAAATGAACCCTAGAGCTAAGAGAGATAACCCTAGCTTGTTGTATTAATTTAAGGAGGAATTACATAAGAGAGGTAACTGTAGCTTGTTTCATTGATTTAAGGAGGAATGACCTAAGAGAGATAACCCTAGCTTATTTCAGTAATTTTAAATGGAATGAATCCTAGAGCTAAGAGAGATAACCCTAGCTTGTTTCATTGATTTAAGGAGGAATGACCTAAGAGAGATAACCCTAGCTTATTTCAGTACATGCAATTTAAAATGGAATGAATCCAAGAGGTAAGAGGGATACAGTCCCTGAAACGTTCTACTTTCCCATTTTTCCGTTCGGTCACCGTTCGTTCAGCGTGCGTTCACCGTTCGTTCAGCGTACGTTCACCGTTCGCTCTCCGTTCACAGTTTTGCGTTCACCGTGCGCTCGCATTCACCGTTCACAAAGCGTTCAGCGTTCGCTCTTCGTTCCGTTCACTTTGCGTTCACCTTGCATTCAGCGTTCACCTTGCGTTCAGTTTTCATTGTCATTCGGAACTCTGAAGTGAAAGGACTTCTTTCCCATTTTTTTTTTTTGTAGGGAAGGAGTTACAGGTTTTTTAATTTAATAACTAACATATCGAGTTTGAAGAATCATTATTTCATGGGGAAAAATATCTACGATATATATTTTTATTATTCTAACTTTAAGTTAGCTCTTAGGTTATTTATTAAATTACTGGAAAATAAATGTTGTAATAAGCACATTCTGTACCTATGTAGAACGATGCTGAAATATTAATTTTAACTAAGGGCAATGTGCAAATACTTCAAGCACTGCAACATTTTCTTGTTTTGTTAAAGACGACAAATCGTTAATGGTGATATAATTATCCAAGTCAAATAATTACGCAGCAAAGTTACGAAAATATTTATTTCTAATTTTTTTGTAATTACTACAGAAAATATGATAGAACTAGTTCTGAGAGTTATACAAAGTACTGCGGATATCCTGTTAATTACTGTAGATTCCTAAATATACGCGAGGAATAAATTATCGCGTAATTACGCGAGAAGCACTGCTCGCGAAATAAAATTACTCGCTTTTATTCTTATGGTGCTTTAATGTATGTAAAATCTCTAAATAAATCAACCATTCGCGAATTATTATTCTCGCGATTTGACGCCCTTGGGTCATTTCGCGATAATAAGTACTCGCGTAAAATAAGGAATCTACAGTATTATCTTTGGAGCGAATTAAATTGATAGTGTGGTTAAAGGAAATATTTATTTAAAATGTACTGCACTACAGAATTTTCTCTACTATAATATGTAAAGTCTATAGTTATAGAGAAAAAAATTCTCTCTTCACCGTAACTTTATATGTTTGCCATTTGATTAATACCCCCCTTTTCCCCCTAAATCGGTTACTTAGTCAGTACTGCATTTCAAGAATATTTTGATTAACATTTTTTAAAGAAAGTTAAGGTCTTTTTTAGAACAAAAATTTCACTCTCAAAACAAACATGCATCTAAAAAAGTCTCAAAACAATAGTAGTTCAAAATGTACACGTGTCGGCAGTGGTATTTGAAATTGGCAGAGAGTATGTTTCAAATTCAAGTGTTAATGCCCAATATATTTTATTCATTTATTAAAATGTTGGAATCAAATCTAGAAATGATAAAAATAAATGTTGTAACTTGTTGGAAATACTCGCACTTCGTCTTCGATGTGACGAAACTTTCACACCTGCACAGTGTCGAATGATTTTGATTGACAGGACAAGCACGTGGACTTTGTGTGAACTTGAAACAGGAACATAAAAACGAGTATGACTGTCATACAAATGGATATGATTTGTTGAAAAAAAAAGTTACTTTCACTGTCTGATATATTTAGAAAAAAAAAATTCAGAGTTTTTGTTTGATATAGGTACAAACATTTAGTGAAGCCTGAAAGGAAGGGGGGGGGGGGGGTAAAACGGAATATTTCTCTCTTTCTCTCTCTCTCTCTCTCTCTCTCTCTCTCTCATTTGTCTGTTTAATAAAAACTATAACAGCATATTATTTAAATATCAAGTTCATAAAATAATTGAATTTATAACAAATAATATGAATATGTATCTTTGTATTATCTTGTCCGAGTATATCCACGGCTATCTACATACACATGTAGAAGTCTGCTCAATAAATTATCATGAAAAATAGAAATGACACAATATATTATTGTATTAAAAATTTAAAATACGAGCATATAAATGTAAAACGTCCACCGACCTTTGTAATTATTTTTTTTTCATTAATTTACACGAAATCTCCTTGACACGGAGATACATGTATATGAATGTATGTTACAA